GGTGCGATAAAGTGACAGGTGCAATTGTCCTAATAGTTCATGTTCAGAGAAATTCGTGACTCTTGTGATCTCGTGATTTGTACAAATAATGCACTAACCAGATAGCGCAATCAAAGCGCATGGAGCAATTAAGACCCGCTCCTGGTGCTCTGGACTTGTAATATTAGGAGGATGTCATCTGTAGGTTTGGCCACCAGATGTCATCAATCCAGGTATATAGGTAAGTCATCAACCAGAAAGATCATCAGCGGGGGAGGGGGTGATCATGCATCATTCCCAGATGGACGGAACCTTCAAAAGCGGGCTCCCATATCATAGATGAGACCCAGAGAAGCCTCGTGTCTCAGGACAATGAGTTCCACGTGAGCCCCTCGTCTCCGCTCCGCCCGCGGTTGTTGTTGTAGGAGGAGCTGCGTGTGAGGAGGATAGCGGAGCGGAGACGAGGGGCTCACGTGGAACTCATTGTCCTGAGACACGAGGCTTCTCTGGGTCTCATCTATGATATGGGAGCCCGCTTTTGAAGGTTCCGTCCATCTGGGAATGATGCATGATCACCCCCTCCCCCGCTGATGATCTTTCTGGTTGATGACTTACCTATATACCTGGATTGATGACATCTGGTGGCCAAACCTACAGATGACATCCTCCTAATATTACAAGTCCAGAGCACCAGGAGCGGGTCTTAATTGCTCCATGCGCTTTGATTGCGCTATCTGGTTAGTGCATTATTTGTACAAATCACGAGATCACAAGAGTCACGAATTTCTCTGAACATGAACTATTAGGACAATTGCACCTGTCACTTTATCGCACCATGCAATATGGACTGAATTTGTCATGCAGTTATGCTGCTCATGTTTCTGTTTGTTCATATTTAATTTCCTAAGCGCTGCATTTTTATTTCTCATGTTTCTATCTGGGTCCCAAGGTTACCTTTTATGCTAGCTGCTTCACTTATGCATTCCCAGCGCTCTATTACCTACTTATATAATATTTCATATTTACCTTGTTCAACTGTGCATTAGTCTGATGTGTATGGAATTAGACTGTAGAGAATTAAAGTGTTTATATAGTTAGTCTGGCTGAAAAAAAAAGACAAAAGTCCATCCAGTTCAACCATAAAAAAAAGGTAATCCTATACCCACGGTTGATCTAGAGGAAGGCAAAAAAACCCAGCAAAGCATGATCCAATTTGCTCATGCAGGGAAAAAAATCCTTCTTGATCCCCTGAGAGGCAATTGAATACCACTCCATCCCCCAAAGCCTCTTCCGCCTGTACCACTATCCCCTCCCTCCTAGATTGTAAGCTTGAAAGAGCAGGGCCCTCGAACCCCTCGTGTATTGTATTGTACTGTATTGTCTCATGTTCTGTCCCCCTCGCTAATGTACAGCGCTGAGCATACCCTTTGGCGCTATATAAATACTGTATAATAATAATAATAATATTCCCTGGATCAACTTTTCCTATAAATTTTAGCTGTAATGTCTGTCTTCATTTTGTAAAGCGCTGCGCAAACTGTTGGCGCTATATAAGTTCTTCTATTGTTGTGACTTAGATGACGTTCAGAGCACATTTTATGCCCAATTCATGCAAAACTCCACGTAATCCCAAGGGGTTCACATACCTTTTCTTGCAACTGTATACTGAACTTACCCACAGACATCTGAAAGCAGTTAGATAAGCAGGTACACTACAGGTACACTACATGGACTACTTGGAGATCTTCAATACAAAAGGTCTAAACATAAAAATGCCTAGTTGGATCTCCCATACATGCATGTTTAGCTCAAAAGTGATCTACTACAAAAAAAAATCTAACCTTGTCAATCAATTCTTCTTCTGAAGACAGTGGTAGAGTGGTGCTATAGTCATAGAGTACCTGAAAATAAATGAACATTTCCAGATCTGAATAATATACCTGGATCAACATGTGGATGGGGCCACCACAGGGGGACCTTTGTGCATGTCTGCACGCTCAATGCCCAGGACCAGGTGGGGCCACGTTTATGCAACGTCTACATTATGGCATTACCCCAATTTAGAGACATGCCGCACAAGGTGTGTGACTTGCTGAGCTCCTTTGTGAAGCATTGTGTCCCATGCAACTACACACCTTCCTCATTTAATGTTGCATTTAGGAGGGACACTGCTGAACTTAGGCTTCATGTGCACGAGCCTACCCTGACTGCCGGACGCAGAAAACTGCAAATTGCAGCAAAACCGTGGCAAAACACAGCAACTACAGTACCGCGGTTTTGCGGCGTTTTCCGTTTTCCCGTGGTCGGCGGTCAAAACATTCCTATCCTGAATACGATTCTTCAGCATTCAGGAGAGGGAGGTTTAACATCACCTAGACGTGGCAGCTCCTAAATTCTGCTAAAAGCCTATGTGTACATGGACAAAAAAATTCCAAAAGCTCCCAAACTCCAGTTTAGGAGCCGCTCGTGTACATGAAGCCTTATGCCCTCTTCACCTGTCCAGTGTATCTCTGCCACCTCACTTGAAGTGATGGAATGGGGTCCCGCTGAGCACCAGTTCGAATCACATGCATGCTCTTACTTAGCTCTCCCATACAATGCAGCTAGGCTGTGGGTCTCTGTAACAGGGGTTCAGTCCTGACACTTTCAGAGAACCGACCACTGGAGGAGAAGCCAGATCACCGACCCCTAACTACCAGAGGATCCTTCGCCATGCCAGGTACCATGCTTCAAGACAGGCTGCTGTACACTCTCTACCAGTCTTTGGCTACCCATAGAAACCGTTCTCTTCCTCCACACCTTCTACTGAGTTAACCCTTTGCACTGTCCTTGCTTCTTTACTCCATGTGCTTTACATACCCTGTTCTTTCATACACCAGAAACCATCATGCACCCCTTTTGAGTAACTTCAGACCAGGCTTGAAACAGTTAACAGCTTTACTGAAGATTTAGCAACACAGTTCAAGATATGTGAAATAGAGTCCAGGGGCTAGCTAACTAATGCAGGCTGCCCGGATCATACCTTCCAGGGAAGCAAAGTCCATTAGGCAAATACCACGGATGGGGCACTACTCTTCCTACTGACCACCAACCCTGAGGCCATCTCTATTCTCACTGATGCTGGGCCTGGGAAATTTTCTATCCCCACTGTCCACAATCCGGCTCCTCTAAAGTCTGAAGGACAGTAAACTGGCTCTTTGTTTGAAAAGTTTGGAGACCCCCTGCTGTAAGTGAAGGTTGTATGTGTATGAGTTCTTTGCGAGTTCTTGTATTTATTTATTATTTATTATTTCAGGTACTTATACTGTATAGTAGGCTCCTAGTCCAAGGAGATCCCAGCAGGGTGACCCAGAAGAGGGCAGGACTCAGAAAGCCCGGAAAAAGAGTCTAGACACAGTAACTCCTTCCTATCCCAGGCAGCCTGTAACTGTCTGTATAACTGCACAGTGCAATGAATACAACAGCAGAAATACAGAAAATGACACCAGTGGTGTATTTACAGTGAGGAACAGAAGTATTTGAACACCCTGCGATTTTGAAAGTTCTCCCACTTAGAAATCATGGAGAAGTCTGAAATTCACATTGTAGGTGCATTCCCACTCTGAAAGACAGAATTAAAAAAAAAATTCAGGAAATCACATTGTATGATTTGTAAAGAATTTATTTGTCTTGCACTGCTGAACATAAGTATTTGAACACCTAAGAAACAGCAAGAATTCTGGCTCTCAAACACCTGTTACTGTGCCTTTAAAAAGTCCACCTCTACTCCACTCATTAATCTAACTTAGTAGCACCTGTCTGAGCTCTTTAAAGACACCTGTCCACCCCACAGTCAGTCAGACGCCAACTACTACCATGGGCAAGACCAATAGAGCTGTCAAAAGACACCAGAGACAAAATTGTGGATCTCCACAATTGCCAAGCAGCTTGGTGAAAATAGATCAACTGTTGGAGCAATTGTTAGAAAATGGAAGAGGCTAAAGGCGACAGTCAGTCTCCCTCGGACTGGGGCTCCATGCAAGATCTGACCTCGTGGGGTATCACTGAGGATAAGAAAGGTGAGGAATCAGCCCAGAACTACAAGGGAGGAGCTGGCCAATGACATGAAGAGAGCTGGGACCACTGTTTCAAAGGTCACTGTCGGTAGAACACTACGCCGTCATGGTTTCAAATCATGCATTGCACGGAAGGTTCCCCTGCTCAAGTCATCACATGTCCAGGCCCGTCTGAAGTTTGCCAATGACCATCTGGATGATCCAGAGGAGGCATGGGAGAAAGTCATGTGGTCAGATGAGACCAAAGTAGAAGTTTTTGGTCTAAACTTCACTCGTCATGTTTGGAGGAAAAAGAAGGATGAGTTGCATCCCAAGAACACCATCCCTACTGTGAAGCATGGGGGTGGTAACATCATGCTTTGGGGGTGCTTTTCTGCGAAGGGGACAGGACGACTGCACTGTATTAAGGAGAGGGTGACTGGGGCCATTTATTGTGAGATTTTGAGCAACAACCTCCTTCCCTCAGTCAGAGCATTGAAGATGGGTCGTGGCTGGGTCTTCCAACATGACAACGACCCGAAGCACACAGCCAGGATAACCAAGGAGTAGCTCCGTAAGAAGCATATCAAGGTTCTGGAGTGGCCTAGCCAGTCTCCAGACCTAAATCCTATAGAACATCTTTGGAGGGAGCTGAAACTCTGTGTTGCTCAGCGACAGCCCCAAAACCTGACAGATCTAGAGGAGATCTGTGTGGAGGAGTGGGCCAAAATCCCTGTTGCAGTGTGTGCAAACCTGGTCAAGAACTACAGGAAACGTTTGACCTCTGTAATTGCAAACAAAGGTTTCTGTACCAAATATTAACACTGATTTTCTCAGGTGTTCAAATACTTATGTTCAGCAGTGCAAGACAAATACATTCTTTAAAAATCATACAATGTGATTTCCTGAATTTTTTGCCACCTTAGGCAAATGCCTTGTTTGCCTCATGATAGATACGCCCCTGGGACATAGGTGTATAAAATCAAGCACCTAGGCATGCAGACTGCTTCTACAAACATTTGGGAAAGAATGGGTCACTCTCAGGAGCTCAGTGAATTCAAGCATGGTACCGTGAAAGGATACCACCTGTGCAATTAGTCCATCCGTGACTCTTCCTTATTACTAAATATTCCACGGTCAACTGTTAGTGGTATTATAACAAAGTTGAAGCAACTGGGAACAACAGCAACTCAGCCACCAAGTGGTAGGCCACGTAAAATGACAGAGCAGGTTCAGCACATGCTGAAGTGCACAGCGCACAGAAGCCACCAACTGTCTGCAGAGTCAATAGCTAGAGACCTCCTAACTTCGTGTGGCCTTCCGATTAGCACAACAACTAATGTGTAGAGAGCTTCATGGAATGGGTTTCCATGGCTGAGCAGCTGCATCCAAGCCTTACATCACCAAGTGCAATGCAAAGTTGTACTCTAGAGCAGTGGAGACGTGTTCTCTGGAGTGACGAATCACTCTTCTCTGTCTGGCAATCTGGACATGTCTGGGTTTGGAGGTTGCCAGGAGAACGGTACTTGCCTGACTGCATTGTGCCAAGTGTAAGGTTTTGTGGTGTCCCCCCCTTTATCACTCAGGATGACCAGTTGACCCCGTATGATTTTTAGCTTTGGAACTCCATGTGAATTGTATTTATACTGACTGCCTTAGGTTTGCCTGTTCTTATGTGCCTTGCCTTGTTATACTTTTGTATGATTTCAATAAACACAACTGTTAAAAAAAAGTTTTGTGGAGGGGGGATTATGGTGTGGGGTTGTGTTTCATGGGTTGGGCTTGGCCCCTTAGTTCCAGTGAGGAGAACGCTTAAGACATCAACATACCAAGACATTTTGGACAATTTCATGCTTTGTGGGAACAGTTTGGAGATGGCCCCTTCCTGTTCCAACATGACTGCACACCAGTACACTGCCAGCCAGGCCTTTCGTGTCCGACATCAGTGCCTGACCTCACAAATGCACTTCTGGAAGAATGGTCAAAGCTTCCCATAGACACCCTCCTAAACCTTGTGGACGGCCTTCCCAGAAGAGTTGAAGCTGTTATAGCTGCAAAGGGCGTGCCAACTCAATATTGAACCCTACGGACTAAGACTGGGAGGCCATTACAGTTCATGTGCGTGTAAAGGCAGGCGGCCCAATACTTTAGGCAATATAGTGTAGGTGTCTTTTTGCAAATGTTTGCAGATATGTAATGATTGCAACTTCTGCTTCTATATTGCATGATACAGAAGTACCAAGTGATTCAGCTGCAGTGAGTTTTCAAAAGTAGTGCACTGAACCGCATTTGAATTCTCGGTGTGAACTTAAATGTTGCAAAACTGTAAAAAATACAATTAAGTGCAGTTTCTTGGTGAACTGATGCTTTTTGGATGCTGATAGGTTTTTAAAAAATTTCCTTTGGTGTTTGTTGCAGAATGGCTTTCTTACCTTAATTTGGTGCTCAGCTGAATTACCATGAATTTTCTCCGCACAATGTATATGGAAACCAAATGCTGCTACCCTCGCTCACTACAGTAGTGTAACGAGAAGCCTTGCATATATGTTGGAGAGTGTAAATACCTTCCAGCGCATTCAGAGGTAAGAGAGAGAGAGTCTAACAACTCAGATAAAACCTGTCAAATGTAGATTGTTTTTGGGGTGCATCACAGAAAATTATGAAAAGTGTAAGGGGGCAACAACACTTACCTTTAATGTACAAATATACAAATAAAGTCATCAAGCCATTACCAATGATCATGTAGTCATCGTAAAAAAAAAATTATACACTGGATGATATATCCAGTCCTCTACTAGCCAGGAAATTATGCCATAGGAATTATAGCACAGCTCTACCAATATTGCTCTTAGCAATGGTTTGCCCAATCAAAACTTCACAGCTAATCGTACGTTCATTTTTACTCTAAACTTTATGTACCTCCAGATCCATTTTCTAAAGAATGTGCAGAACAATGTTTCCATAAACTTCTGTTTACGCACCACAAGCGGGATTCTAAAGGTTTGCTTTTCTTTTTTCAAATAACAAACATGTCATACTTACCTGGCCCCCCACCATCTCTCCTGCCCCCCCCCCCCACTGAATGCACACGATAGCAAGCTGCTTGCTATGGGGTACTCGAGCCACCTCTGTGCTTTCATAAGACACACAGAGCACGGCTCAACCCTGCTCTCCGCTCCTCACTGGCTGTGATTGACAGCAGCGGGAGCCAATGGCTCCCACTGCTGTGTTTGAACCAATATGGAGGGAGAGAGCTGGGAGAGCCTTAGCTCTTGTGCACATCGGCACATTGCTGGATCGATTTCGTTCTCAGGTGAGTATAAGGGGGCTAGGGGGAAGTTGCACTCAGAAGGTTTTTTTACCTTCCTTCATGCAATGCGGGAAGATAAAAAAAAACCTTGTGCCTTTACAACCACTTTAATAGAAGGGGACTTTACAGTGGGAGAGGTAAAAGTGGCTATTAGACAAATTAAAGAAGCTCACCTTAAAAAAATATAAATGCACATATTTTTGCAGTAAAAAATATGCATTTATTATTTTTTTAGCACAGATGCCTGCAGAGCATTGCAACAGCAATCAGTGGATCGCAGGTGCAATGCCAGGCTTCTGCACACACTGTACCTCTGTACAGGCTGTCAGTTACAGAGCAATAGGCAGTGTGAATGGATTATGAAAACTCTGATCAGCACACTTGTGATCCATTGAAACTACAAGTCCATCTGCTGTGGTGGAAGACAGGACTTGTAGTTCATTTATTTACAGATTTCTGTGCTATTTTAAAAATGTGACAGCAGCTGCAGGGAAAGGAACCCCCACCTGCTGTCACAGGGAGGGGAGCTCTGGTGGTGGAAGGTGAGCAAACAGGAGCATGTTACACCCTAAATATGGGTGTAACATACTCCTAAAGGTGAACCTATGCTTTAACCTATCAAAAGCGCACAGTCCTGATGGATTTTCAGGACACTATATAAGAAATATGCTATCCTAGGCTATCCTATGGGATCCTAGGCTCCCCATTTATACACATTTTTAATGTCATACAGAAAGGCTTATGTTTACCTCCACCTGAAAATAAGTCTTCATTCATGCCATTCCAAAACCTGGCAAGGACCATGGAGACTACACAAACTACTGCCCTATTTCCTTATTAAATGTTGATCTCAAGACAATTACAAAAATCTCAGCCTCAAGGATCAATGCCTTTCTATCTCAATACATAAATCTTGACCAAGTTGGTTTTGTACCCCACTGACAGGCACCTGATATGATTGGGATGCGAAGGGATTGAGACATGGTGTGCGTCTTTCATTAGACGTGAAAAAAAAACTTTGAATTCTATTCCTTGGGATTACTTTTTATACCCTAGAGAAATATGGGTTTGGGATCAAATTCATATCATTCTTACAGATTTACCCTAAAGCATCACTGATGATACAGATCCCAATACTTCAATGTACACAGAGGCATTCATCAAGGCTGCCCCTTGTCCCCAATCCTATTATTGCTAGCTCTAGAGCAGGGGTGTGAAACTGGTGGCCCTCCAGCTGTTGCGAAACTACAAGTCCCATCATGCCTCTGCCTATGGGAGTCATGCTTGTAACTGTCAGTCTTGCAATGCCTCATGGGACTTGTAGTTTGGCAACAGCTGGAGGGCTGCCAGTTTGACATCTGTACTCTAGAGCCTTTGGGGCTTAAGAGAAAGAACAATTCTGACATTTTAATGCCATGCTTGCAGACAATTCATTACTAATCTTTCCCGCATTTTTTTATCCCAAATTTACATAATGTCTTACATCAATTTTCTATCATCTCTGGATTTAAAGTAAACTACACTAAATCCCAAGCCTTGAACACATCTTTTATTAAGAAGAGGAGAACTAGGGATCATTAAGGTGCCATAAGACATGTCAGGGAGTTCTCCTCTTCTTCTTTTTTTGTCTACATATGGGAACTACAGACTTCGGTGACACGCTGTCGATTGCCTTCTTCTGAACAGGACCCCTCCTTAGACACTGGAGAGTAAGTTCTTTCCAGACTTTGAAACTTTGCTCTCCTTGCATTACAGGAACATTACCAGAAAACACTTTTAACTTTCTGTAATGTGCTGCCTGTAAACCCTGTGCTAACATTTCATCCAGTCTGGCTAAAGTACCACTTGCATTGTCACTAGGGTCCACCATAGTGCCCCGTACTACATCACTGACCTAATATCCAAGTACCGCCCAGCACGCACATTCCGCTCCTCACAAGACCTCCTTCTCTCTAGTTCCCTGTTCTCCTCCTCCCATGCCCGCCTCCAGGACTTCTCCAGGGTGTCACCCATCCTCTGGAACTCCCTGCCCCAACCCATCAGATTATCACCTACTCTCCTCTCCTTTAGGCGCACCCTGAAAACCCACCTCTTCAGGGAAGCCTACCCCACCCCCTGCTAACCTGCCGACCTCCTCCACTCTTCCTACCACTCCATCCCCCACAGCTATCTCCTCCTGTGCCACCATCCCCTCCCTCCTAGATTGTAAGCTCGAAAGAGCAGGGCCCTCGATCCCCTCATGTTTTGCATTGTATTGGTATTGTTCTGTCACATGTTCTGTCCCCCTTTGTAATGTACAGCACTGAGCAAACCATTGGCGCTTTATAAATACTGTATAATAATAATAATAATTATCCATCTTGTAAGAAAAGCTAGTTGATACGGGTTCTTCTTTTACATGAACCAGCAGGTAAGCACAGTCTAATTCTACCACTGCAAATGTCAATGGCTCCTGCTGCTGTCTCTGAGCCTGTGAGAGGGGAGAGAGAAAACCAGCTGCAGACAGACACAGCGCTGGTTTGATACAGGACTTAGACAAGTATTTAGGGAGGAGGGAGGGTTGGGGGAACCACAAGTGGAAGGATTTTTTTTTTTACCTTAAAATGGTTCTAAAGACAGAAAGGTTTCTACCTTAATGCACTTTCTGCATTAAGGTAAAAAACCTTCTGTGAACAGGATCCCCACCCCCTTATACTTACTTGGGGCCGATCTCAATCCAGTGCTGTGCCCAAGAGCAGCAGCTCTCTCCGCTCTCTCTCGCTTCAGAAGACAGAGAGGCAGTAGAGGGAGCATTTGGCCCCTGCTGCTGTCAATCAAATCCTGTGATGAGCCACACTGTCTGTGTCTATGGATGCAGGCAGTGCAGCTCGAGACTGTGCCCACAGGTGTGCCACAATAGGTGGCTTTCTATGGTGGGAGAAGAGGAGCCAGTAGAACCAGTGGGGGACCCTAGAGGAGGAGGATCACAGCTCTGCCACAGCCACCATTGCACAGAGCAAGTAAGTATGACATGTTCATTACAATCACTTTAATGTAGTTAATGCAAGAAGGCAAAATAAAATTAAAAAAAAAAAATTCCCTGGGGCTGCATATTGCATATCTGTCTCACAGAGAGCTCCGGATCCCAAACTAACAATCAGGACCCAGAACTCCCAAATTCACCTGATCGTTGTGATTAGAGATGAGCGAAGTATTCAAAAATTCGATTCGACTGATTCGGCGAATTCGTGGTCGAATATATTCGCTGCGAATTTAACTTATAAAAGGGTGTTTCTAGGCTTCAGAGAGCCTTTATATTAGTGCAGAACACTGTACCTTTAATTTAAATGCCCTTGGAGTCTGCTGGGGAAGAGAAATAATACTGACAGTCAGTATGACATGCAGATGAGTGCCGTCGATCTTAGAATCACCGCACACTTCACTCATTTGGGCAGTCACGGGGCCAAAACCAGAGTGTGGAGCCACAGTGTGGCGGTGGAGGCAGCAGCAATGGGAGGCCATACAGCACCCTATGACAAAAATGGAAACCACCAGCAGTGTGAGGAGACCTGAAAGTGGCACATGGCAGAGTGTGGCGATGGAGACAGCAGCAATGGGAGGCCGTACAGGGACCCATGACACACTCTGGACCTGGCAGCAGCATGAGGAGGCGGTACAGGGGCCCATGACAGATTACGGGCCTGGCAGCAGCATGAGGAGTAGGTACGGGGGCCCATGGCAGATTACGGGCCTGGCAGCAGCAATGGGAGGCCGTACAGGGACCCATGACACACTCTGGACCTGGCAGCAGCATGAGGAGGCGGTACAGGGGCCCATGGCAGATTACGGGCCTGGCAGCAGCAATGGGAGGCCCGTAATCTGCCAGCACCCTATGACAAAAAATGGAACACACCAGCAGTGTGAGGAGACCTCAAAGTGGCACATGTTTGGGGCATGATTCATGGTGGATTTAGTCAGTTGTGTCAGGAACTGGTGGTTTGAAATCCAGACTAATCCACGCCTGATTCATTTTCACAAACGTGAGTCTCTCCACACTTTGGGTGGACAGTCGCGTCCTCCGCGGAGTTACAATACCTCCTGCCGCACTAAACACGCGCTCCGATGCCACGCTACTGGCCGGGCATGACAGCCTTTCAAGGGCAAATTCAGCTAGTTGGGGCCAAAGGTCAAGTTTCGTTGCCCAGTAGTCAAGGGGATTGTCTACCTCGGTTGGCAGGGTGCTGTCCAAGTAGGCCTAAGCCTGTTGTTTGAGGTCCTGCTCCAGGTCCACCTGATGCTGCTGCTGCTGCGGCTGGTTAGTAGTTTCCTCACTGCGCTGGTGAAGAAAGCTACTCATCATCGACTGCAGACTGAGGCAGCCGCTGCTGGTGGAGCTGCCACTGCTCCTACCACCCCACCCCTCCCCTGCTGCCATGGCAGCGGAACGCGAGCGCACAGGGCCCACAGTGTCTGAGGATGGACGTTGGCGCAGAAAGGCAGAGACCAGCTGACTACATAGGTGGTTTTTTATAGTACGTTATTTTGGCCTCCCTCTCAGCAGGTGTGAAAAAGGCCACCATTTTTGAACGGTAGCGAGGGTCCAACAAGGTGGACAGCCAAAAGTCATCCCTCTGTCTGATGGTTATTATTCGGCTGTCGCTACGCAAGCAAGCGAGCATGCTATGGGCCATTTGTGCCAAGGAATGCGAGGGACTCCCTGCCTCCATCTCCACAGCATACTGCCACGGTGCGTCTGGGTCCTCTGTCTCCTCCTCCTCCTCCTCTACCAGATGCTCCTGCTCCTCCACTCCTGTCTGCTGAGTGGAAAAACCACCCATTTCACTCAATAATTCCTGAGCACCAATGTCCTCCTCTACCTCCTCCTCTTCTTCCTGTCCTGCCCCCACAGGGGTCATGTGGCGTTGAGATCTGTGCGCCACGTCTACCGCACCCTGACCAGCCATTGTTAACAGCATTTGTTCCAGGACGTGCAACAGAGGAATGACGTCGTTCATCCCATAGTCCTGCCGACTCACGAATAGCGTGGCCTCCTCAAAGGGCCTGAGCAAGCGCAGGTGTCACGCATGAGCTGCCAATAACTGACATCTAAGTTACACAGGGAGTACCTTTATCCGCTTGTACCATCAGGAAATCTGTGATGGCCTTTCGCTGTACGTAAAGGCGGTCTAACATATGTAGGGTTGAATTCCACCTTGTTGCAACGTCACAGCATGAGGAGTCGGTACGGGGGCCCATGGCAGATTACGGGCCTGGCAGCAGCAATGGGAGGCCCGTAATCTGCCAGCACCCTATGACAAAAAATGTAACACACCAGCAGTGTGAGGAGATCTGAAAGTGGCACACGGCAGAGTGTGGTGATGGAGACAGCAGCAATGGGAGGCCGTACAGGGACCCATGAGAGACTCTGGACTTGGCAGCAGCATGAGGAGGCGGTATAGGGGCCCATGGCAGATTAGGGGCCTGGCAGCAGCTATGGGAGGCCCGTAATCTGCCAGCACCCTATGACAAAAAATTGAACACACCAGCAGTATGAGGAGACCTGAAAGTGGCACATGGCATGAGAGACTGTGGACCTGGCAGCAGCATGAGGAGGCGGTATAGGGGCCCATGGCAGATTAGGGGCCTGGCAGCAGCTATGGGAGGCCCGTAATCTGCCAGCACCCTATGTCAAAAAATTGAACACACCAGCAGTGTGTGAGGAGACCTGAAAGTGGCACATGGCAGAGTGTGGCGATGGAGACAGCAGCAATGGGAGGCCGTACAGGGACCCATGAGACACTCTGGACCTGGCAGCAGCATGAGGAGGCAGTATAGGGGCCCATGGCAGATTAGGGGCCTGGCAGCAGCTATGGGAGGCCCGTAATCTGCCAGCACCCTATGACAAAAAATTGAACACACCAGCAGTTTGAGGAGACCTGAAAGTGGCACATGGCATGAGAGACTGTGGACCTGGCAGCAGCATGAGGAGGCGGTACAGGGGCCCATGGCAGATTAGGGGCCTGGCAGCAGCTATGGGAGGCCCGTAATCTGCCAGCACCCTATGTCAAAAAATTGAACACACCAGCAGTGTGAGGAGACCTGAAAGTGGCACATGGCATGAAACACTGTGGACCTGGCAGCAGCATGAGGAGGCGGTACAGGGGCCCATGGCAGATTAGGGGCCTGGCAGCAGCTATGGGAGGCCCGTAATCTGCCAGCACCCTATGTCAAAAAATTGAACACACCAGCAGTGTGTGAGGAGACCTGAAAGTGGCACATGGCAGAGTGTGGCGATGGAGACAGCAGCAATGGGAGGCCGTACAGGGACCCATGAGACACTCTGGACCTGGCAGCAGCATGAGGAGGCGGTATAGGGGCCCATGGCAGATTAGGGGCCTGGCAGCAGCTATGGGAGGCCCGTAATCTGCCAGCACCCTATGTCAAAAAATTGAACACACCAGCAGTGTGTGAGGAGACCTGAAAGTGGCACATGGCAGAGTGTGGCGATGGAGACAGCAGCAATGGGAGGCCGTACAGGGACCCATGAGAGACTCTGGACCTGGCAGCAGCATGAGGAGGCGGTACAGGGGCCCATGGCAGATTAGGGGCCTGGCAGCAGCTATGGGAGGCCCGTAATCTGCCAGCACCCTATGACAAAAAATTGAACACACCAGCAGTGTGAGGAGACCTGAAAGTGGCACATGGCATGAGAGACTGTGCACCTGGCAGCAGCATGAGGAGGCGGTACAGGGGCCCATGCAGATTAGGGGCCTGGCAGCAGCTATGGGAGGCCCGTAATCTGCCAGCACCCTATGTCAAAAAATTGAACACACCAGCAGTGTGTGAGGAGACCTGAAAGTGGCACATGGCAGAGTGTGGCGATGGAGACAGCAGCAATGGGAGGCCGTACAGGGACCCATGAGAGACTCTGGACCTGGCAGCAGCATGAGGAGGTGGTATAGGGGCCCATGGCAGGGGCAAAAAAATTTAAACCCCCCAGCAGTGTGTGAGGGGGAAACCGGGAAAATGGGCACATTGGGAGGTTTTGGGGGATGGAGACGCAGCAATGGGAGGCCGTTCAGGGACCCCTGAGAGAATCTGGGGCCCCGGCAACAGCATGGGAGGCGGGGGGGGATAGGGGCCCCGGCAGATTAGGGGCCTTTTCCGCAGCTATGGGAGGCTCGTAATCTGCCAGCACCCCATGTCAAAAAAATTTAACACACCAGCAGTGTGTGGGAGACCTTTAAAGTGGGGACATGGCAGAGTGTGGGGAAAAGGACAGGGAGCAAAGGGAGGCCGTTTCAGGGACCCCCTGAGAAAACTCGGACCCGGGAGCAGCAGGAAAGGGGGCGGTTTTAGGGGCCCTTGGCCGATTAAAGGGGGCCTGGCAGCGCATGAGAGGCCCCTTTTAAACTGCCCGCACCCCTTTTGTCCAAAAAAATTTTAACCCCACCAGCAGGGGTGGAGGAGACCTAAAATGGCAACAGGGGAGAGGGGTGGCGATGGAACAAACAGCAATGGGAGGCCGTACAGGGGGCCCATGAGACCCCTCTGGAACCCGGCAGCGCAGAGGGGGCGGTTTCAGGGGCCCCTGGCGATTACGGGGCCC